ACGCGTTTCGTAGCCTCATAGGGAGCTCCACCGAAGGCCCCAGTGGGGGTGTTCGCATGCGGTTCCCCCACCCAGGGCAGCGTTTCGTGGCCCCATAGGGAGCTCCACCGAAGGCCCCAGTGGGGGTGTCCACATGCGGTTCCCCCACCCAGGGCAGCGTTTCAGGGAGCTCCACCGAAGGCCCCAGTGGGGTGTCCACATGCGGTTCCCCCACCCAGGGCAGCGTTTCGTAGCCCCAGAGGGAGCTCCACCGAAGGCCCCAGTGGGGGTGTCCACATGCGGTTCCCCCACCCAGGGCAGCGTTTCGTGGCCCCATAGGGAGCTCCACCGAAGGCCCCAGTGGGGGTGTCCACATGCGCGGTTCCCCCACCCAGGGCAGCGTTTCGTGGCCCCATAGGGAGCTCCACCGAAGGCCCCAGTGGGGGTGTCCGCATGCGGTTCCCCCACCCAGGGCAGCGTTTCGTAGCCCCATAGGGAGCTCCACCGAAGGCCCCAGTGGGGGTGTCCACATGCGGTTCCCCCACCCAGGGCAGCGTTTCGTAGCCCCATAGGGAGCTCCACCGAAGGCCCCAGTGGGGGTGTTCACATGCGGTTCCCCCACCCAGGGCAGCGTTTCGTGGCCCCATAGGGAGCTCCACCGAAGGCCCCAGTGGGGGTGTTCGCATGCGGTTCCCCCACCCAGGGCAGCGTTTCGTGGCCCCATAGGGAGCTCCACCGAAGGCCCCAGTGGGGGTGTTCGCATGCGGTTCCCCCACCCAGGGCAGCGTTTCGTAGCCCCATAGGGAGCTCCACCGAAGGCCCCAGTGGGGGTGTCCACATGCGGTTCCCCCACCCAGGGCAGCGTTTCGTAGCCCCATAGGGAGCTCCACCGAAGGCCCCAGTGGGGGTGTCCACATGCGGTTCCCCCACCCAGGGCAGCGTTTCGTAGCCCCATAGGGAGCTCCACCGAAGGCCCCAGTGGGGGTGTCCACATGCGGTTCCCCCACCCAGGGCAGCGTTTCGTAGCCCCATAGGGAGCTCCACCGAAGGCCCCAGTGGGGCTGCCCTCATGCGGTTCCCCCACCCAGGGCAGCGTTTCGTAGCCCCAGAGGGAGCTCCACCGTAGGCCCCAGTGGGGGTGCCCGCATGCGGTTCCCCCACCCAGGGCAGCGTTTCGTGGCCCCACAGAGAGCTCCACCGAAGGCCCCAGTGGGGGTGTCCACATGCGATTCCCCCACCCAGGGCAGCGTTTCGTAGCCCCATAGGGAGCACCGAAGGCCCCAGTGGGGGTGTTCGCATGCGTCTCCACTACCCAGAGGTAGCGCCGCCGAAGACGATATTCACACTTGCGGTATTCACAGTTGCATATGGTTGGGTCCTTCGCCAGGCTAATTCCTTCAGAGTCCCCCTCCCCTGCGCGGCGCGCGGAGCGCGCCGCCAAGAAATCCGCGCGGAGCGCCAACAGTTTAGGTTTCTGGCGTTTTTCCTTCTTCGGGCCTCCCTCGAACATGGTCAGGCCGAGGTAATCGGCAGCCGAAGCGCTCTCATTCACTGCTTGCAATGCCTCGCCTAACGCCCAATGTATCGCGCCTTGCCACTGTTGCGTGCGAGCGGCGTGTGCCACTGCTGGTGGCGGTTGCCGTGCCAGCCACCGATCCCTAGAGGATCTGCTTGCAGCACTGGCGCCCTCGCCCGTGGCCGAGCGCCGTGACCCCGCCATGGGGAGTCTGACGATCTGGATCGGCACGCCAGGAAACCACTTCAGGAAGCACGTAGGCAACCACAGACCAAGCCATCACGCGACAGCATGCCGGCTTTCATGGCCCCGATGTAGGAGTCCGCGTGTAAGGGCGCACCTCACACAGCTTGGCTCCGAATTCATGGCTATGGGAGATGGGAGAGGAGAAGGATGACGCGAGGAACGTTGAGCGAGAACGAACTTTGTCCTGGGCGGCATCCACAGAAGCCACGGCGCGAGGCCTGGGCTGGCGAACGCTTTGCAGCAGTCGGGGGAACTTGTGAGATAAGTCGCAGCGGGTCTCGGTGATCGCATCGGACGGCGACAGGATCTTCCATCGTTGACTCCGAATCTGACTCTTCGTAGCGCAGAAAGACTGTGCGGACAAATCTGCAAGAGATCGGGAATGTACTCGAATCAGCCTATGCTTGTCTCGGCCACTCTACGCTTCCCTTTTCTACACGGCGCCGCTCAACTCTGCCGTGCTCCACCCTGCCGTGCCCTCCCTCGCCCTACCCGATCCTAGCCACCAGGCCCTGCCCCATTTTACGCTGCCCTACTCCGCTCCAGTGCACTCCACTCTACTTCCAACTATTCCACTCTACTTTCATCTCCTCTCCTCTCCAACCCTCTTGATCCCCACCTGCTCCTACCCTACTCCTCCTCTTCTTTCCCTGCGCTGTGCTATATTATACTCTATTGTGCACCACCCTGCTATTCTATACGTCACGGTTCATTTTCCGGCTGTGCTCTGACTCGCGAAAGACCTTCCACAGCTGATCCTCAGGAGACCTCCAGATCCACCTAAGTTCGTATGGAATAAACTGCGTCGAACTACGTCGACCTATCTGGCTTCACCCCACCAATTCGAGCGCAGAACAACCGCTAAACCCTGAGGGTGACGAGTGGCCCGCTCCAGAAACTCTGAACCCTCGAATGCCATCTCTTAAGTGCGATCCTTTGCTCCCGCCAGCTTCCGCTGCCCAGGTGCACCTCTCTTCACGATCGCGACAGGAATGTCGGGAGGAGGAGGAGGAGGAGGAGGAGGAGGAGGAGGAGGAGGAGGAGGAGGAGGAGGAGGAGGAGGAGGATCCTTTGCTCCCGCCAGCTTCCGCCTCCTTCCGCGGCCCGTCGGCCGAGGGAAGGGAGGTCAGCATCTCGATCCCTCGACGGGCGACGCCCGTCCTGGACCGCCCCAAGCGCACCTCTCTTCACGCTCGCGACAGGAGTGTCGGGAGGAGGAGGAGGAGGAGGAGGAGGAGGAGGAGGAGGAGGAGGAGGAGGAGGAGGAAGAGGAGGAGGACACGCAAGCCCAAGGTCGGGGGATCGGAATACACTCCCCAACGCACGCTGCCGCTAGCCCCCCCCGTTGCCAGTGCAGCCTGGCGAAGGAGAGGGAGCGGAAGCGAGAAGAACGCAGGCGACGAAGGACGCGGAGGCGGGAGGCTAGGGCCAGAGGGAGAAGGCAGGAGGGCGGGTAGAGGGAAGGGACAGAGGGATGGCAGCGAGCAGAAAGCAGAGGGAATCTTACATTTTTCCCAACCATCCTGTGGTGTTGGGTCCTCGTGTTGAAGAGACAGCGCCCCGCGTCTCCTTCCTTCCTTCCTTCCTTCCTCCCTCCTCCCCCTCCTCCCTTTTCCGTCCTCCCTCCTCCCTCCTCCCCCTCCCCCTCCTTGCCTTTGCTCTCGGCACACCTCTCACGCGTTTCCTCACCCCGTAGGGAGCTCCACCGAAAGCCCCAATGGGGGTGCACGCATGCGGTTCCCCCACCCAAGGCAGCGTTTCGTGGCCCCATAGGGAGCTCCACCTAAGGCCCCAGTGGGAGTGCCCGCGTGCGGTTCCCCCACCCAGGGCAGCGTTTCGTAGCCCCAGAGGGAGCCCCACCGAAGGCCCCAGAGGGGGTGTCCGCATGCGGTTCCCCCACTCAGGGCAGCGTTTCGTAGCCCCATAGGGAGCTCCACCGAAGGCCCCAGTGGGGGTGCTCGCATGCGGTTCCCCCACCCAAGGCAACGTTTCGTGGCCCCATAGGGAGCTCCACCGTAGGCCCTAGTGGGGGTGCCCGCATGCGGTTCCCCCACCCAGGGCAGCGTTTCGTAGCCCCATCGGGAGCCCCACCGAAGGCCCCGGTGGGGGTGCCCGCCTGCGGTTCCCCCACCCAGGGCAGCGTTTCGTGCCCCCATAGAGAGGTCCACCGTAGGCCCCAGTGGGGGTGCCCGCATGCGGTTCCCCCACTCAGGTCAGCGTTTCGTAGCCATATAGGGAGCTCCACCGAAGGCCCCAGTGGGGGTGCCCGCATGCGGTTCCCCACCCAGGGCAGCGTTTCGTAGCCCCATAGGAAGCTCCACCGAAGGCCCCAGTGGGGGTGCCCGCATGCGGTTCCTCCACCCAGGGCAGCGTCTCGTGGCCCCATAGGGAGCTCTATCGAAGGCCCCGATGGGGGTGCCCGCATGCGGTTCCCCCACCCAGTGCAGCGTTTCGTAGCCCCATAGGGAGCTCCACCGACGGCCCTAGTGGGGTTGCCCACATGCGGTTCCCCCACCCAGGGCAGCGTTTCGTAGCCCCATAGGGAGCTCCACCGACGGCCCCAGTGGGGGTGCCCGCATGCGGTTCCCCCACCCAGGGAAGCGCTTCGTGGCCCCATAGGGAGCTCCACCGAAGGCCCCAGTGGGGGTGCCCGCATGCGGTTCCCCCACCCAGGGCAGCGTTTCGTAGCCCCATAAGGAGCTCCACCGAAGGCCCCAGTGGGGGTGTTCGCATGCGTCTCCCCTACCCAGAGGTAGCGCCACCGAAACGATATTCATATTTGCGGTATTCACAACTACATATGGTTGGGTCCTTCGCCAGGCTAATTTTTTTTGGGGGGGGGGCAGCTCTCGCTGACTTTGTTACGTTGAATGTAAAAGGCGGTCCGCCAAGCGGCGGAGCAGTGACATAATAGGCATCTCTAGCAGAGGGAATATGACAATGAGGAGAGGGGGAGCGGAAGGGGCGAATTGGGCGAAGGAGGGGGCGCTGGGGGATAAGGGGGGGGCAGCCGCCAGCAACCAGGTCCGCCAGCCGTGCTTTCACAACGTGGGCCTCTGCAGATCTCCACACGCTCCCCAGGGAAGCTTTCTTGATTGTCAGAGGGCCCCACGACAGCTCCCAGAGGCTCCAACTCTGAGTGAACCACCCGTCGCGATCTTTTCACAGCGCGGGAGGCTTCGGGGCCTCAAGACCTCGGGATCTTGGTGCACCTCGGGCCCCAGGCTCCCCTGGGCGCCTGCCCCAAAACCAACTCTTCGTTCGGAGCTGCCTCTTGGCGGGTCCCTGGGCCCGAAAACGCTGACCGTGGGCGGCCAGGAATCAACAAGACACATCGAACTCGTTTGTCTCGAATCCGTGGAAGCCTGGGTCGCAAGAGTGCCTCTTTCTCCGCCTCGGCGCTCCCCACGGCGACTCTGTCGCACCGCTCTCGGCGGGAACGGTCGCACCGTTCTCGGAAAGGGAGGAGGAGGAAGAGGAGGAGGAAGAAGAAGGGGAGGAGGACAAGCAAAGACGCGGCAGATTCGCCGGCCCAACGGGCCAGAGGCGTGCTAAGACCTCCGGTAACTGCTTTACAATAATTCTACTTAGCACGCGCGGGGCGGCCCCTGAGGGTCCCCGGAAGAAAAGTACCCCGGGCGACGCCCGGGCGCTGCGGGTCAGAGATGCTTCTCCTACTGGGCGCCGCCCTCGAGGCCGCCCAGAGAGCCCTAAGCAAGGCCAAGAGGCCGCCAAGAGCCCCTCAAGATGATACAAGAGAGCTCCGAGATGCCACAATATCACTCCAAGACGCACAAGATGCCCCCCCAGACGGCCCGACACGTTTCCAAGAGCACTCTCAAGAGGGCACCAAGAGGCAAAATTCATTGCTTCTCCTGAGGTTTGGGACAGATTTGAGCGTTTTCACCTATTCGGCTTCCCGACACCCCTAGACGGCCCAATAGGCCCCCAAGACCGCCCCAAGATGGCCCAAGAGGCCCCCAAGAGGGCTGTAAGACGGCCCAAGAGGGCTCCGAAACGGCCCAAGAGGCTTCCAAGACGGCCCAAGAAGGCCCCAAGAGAGGTCCCAGGAGGGAACACGAGTCAACATTTCGAGCTCCCGGCCGTAAGAAGGCCCCAGGAGTCCCCAAGATGCCCCTAAGAGACCCCAAGACGTCCCCAACAGGCCCCCAGGAGGCCCCAAGAGGCCCCCACGCGGCCCCAGGAGGGCCCCAAGAGGCAAAACTCATTGCTTTTCCTTAGGTTTTGGACAGATTTTGGCGTTTCCATCTTTTCGGCTTCCCCACACCCCAAGACGGCCCAAGAGGCCCCCACGACCGCCCCAAGGGGGCACAAGAGGGCCCCAAGAGGGCCCTAAGACGGCCCAGGAGGGCTCCAAGACGGCCCAAGAGGCTTCCAAGACGGGCCCATGAAGGCCCCAAGAGAGGTCCCAGGGGGGGAACACGAAACAACATTTCGAGCCCTCGGCCCTAGGAAGCCCCCAGGAAATTTCCCAAGAGGCCCCCAAGAGGCCCCAAGAGGCCCCAAACAGGCCCTCAGGAGGCCTCCAAGAGGCCCCCAGGCGGTTCCAGGAGGTCCCTCAAATGCCCCCCCGAGCACGCAAGCAAGTGCCAACGACCCGACGCGTTTAAGAGTCCCCACGAGGCCACCAAGAGGCCTCCCGAAAGAGTCCCCATAGGCAAAACGCTTCCAGACGGCCCGCGACGCGTTCAAGATTCCCCCAGCGGCCACCAAGAAGCCTCACATGCCGAACGCAAAGCCTGATAAAAACAGCCGCCGCCCCTGCAACTCCGCACCGCAAAAGACCACTCGGTCAGTCGACAACGGCACGCAATTATGGGCCGGCGGAATAAGCGAAGCGATTCAATAAGATGAGGACGAGGAGAAGCAATGGGGAGCAATAGCAGCAACAGTAGAGGGGGATGGAGGAGGAAAGAGGAAGGAGCCAACATCTAGGTGAGAAGGGATGAAACAGGATGTATGAGCGAGGAGAGGGAGTAGTAGAGAGGCAGTGGAAGGGATGATAAATAATGGTGAAGCCTGCTGCCCTGCCGTTAGAGGAAAGTTGACGATGACGATGATGACGATGATAATGATGATGCTGCTGCTTATGATGATGCTGCTGCTAATGATGATGACGATGATTATGGATTCTGGCTGATGATGTTGATGATGCTGGTGATAAGGATTATGACGACAGTGATAATGATAATGCGAATCTACTGAACATGATAATGATGATGTTCATGCTGCTGATTATGCGGATTATGCTGATGATGCACATGTTGATGATGATGCTGTTGCTGACGCTGATGATGCTGATGATGGTGCTGCTGATGCTGCAGATGATTATGTTGATGATGCTAGTTATGCTGACGATGCTGATGATGATGCTGATGCTGATGTTGCTGATGACGATGAAGATGATGACGATTATGATGGTGGTGGTGATACTGATGAAGAGAGGAAGGGAGGAGGAGGAGGAGGTGGAGGAGGAGGAGGAGGAGGAGGAGGAGGAGGAGGAGAAGAACAAGGAGGAGGTGAAGGTGGCGCCGGCTGGCAGCGCTCAGAATTCGCTCATGCTGGCCGCAAGCTCTGGCTGCCCCGCAGCCAGCGGCCGCAACCGCCACGGCGTCGACGTGAGTGGGTTGACGTACATCGGCTCGCTGGGCCAGGTGGGGCGGAGCGGCTCGTCCACCCCGGCGACGCCTGCTCGGGTCCAGGCGGCGCGGCTGCTAGTCGTCGTAGATCACCACCACTTCCTCGGGCTGGCGCGCCTAAGGAAGGCCGGTTGGACCCTCGGAGCCCAGTTTGCAGAGCCTCGCGGCGAGACGGCCTGCAAACACCCGCTGCCGCTTGTCACAACGCCCCGATGCACCCCTGGGACAAGCCACGGAAACGCTTTTTGAACTGCAGAGAGGATTCCCGATGTACCGCCCAGTAAGGACGTGTGAAACAGCATTCACGTTCGCATGCGAGAGAAAGAGTTTGCACGGAAGGCTCAACAAATGAACAATTCGTTCACTCACCAATCGATCACCAGACAGGGGTCCCCCCCCGGGTCCCTGGACCGTCAAACATTGGCTCGGGATGAAAAACTGGTTCGAAGGAACGGGTCCAGACCTCTGGGGGTCGACGTTGTAAACAGGTCAGCACGTCGGGGGTCTGGGCTCCCAAGCCCCGGGGTCCGGCAGCAAAACGACTCGGGGCGGAGAGCTGGCCCCCGAGCCCGCTTCCTGCAAGGCCTGGCTCCTTCACGCCAAGCCCCCCGCTCTGGACTTGGCGGTCCCCGAACGGTGCGGTGACCACTGAGTGCGGTGAGTCAGTGGGGATTCCGGACCGTCGTGCGGTGAGGCCTTCGGGTCTTTCAAGGTCACCGAATTGTCTGCTACCGCAATCTTTTGGGCCCCCCCCGTAGGCCGCATACTCAGGAGGACCATGGGAGGAAAAGCAGAATGGTTGGCAATGTGAGCAGCAGCAGCAGTATCAGAGACGGCCTGGACTCCATCAGGCTGCCTGTGCCTGCTGACGAATTCCGCCAGCTCCCTGCGCCACAGCTTGTTGGCGTCCTCCCACTTCCTCGCAAACAGTAAGGCGTGCCCTTCACCCCCAACGGGGGGGGAGGCTGTGGGTTACGCGCGGACAGCTCCCCCACGTAGCCCGTGCTGCCTCAACAACCCCCCAGGGAAGTCCCGGGGTCTTGACACTCCAGCACCGCCTCTGGTGGCGGCCCAGGGGCGCTTCGCGCCCCCGTAGTGGGGTTATGTGACCGCCCCATGCCACACTCGGGGCTCACTGAAGCCAGCCTGAACCACTATGGCTGCTGGGAAGAATTACCAATCAAATGATAACCCTGGCCAACCCTCGGGCAAACCCTCCGACCGACCCTGCGGCCAGCCCTCCGACCCCAGACCCCCCGCCAAACCTCTGGCCAACCCAGGTGGCCAACCCTGGTTAGGGTGTATGTAAGTTTTCCCATAAGACATGATACTTCCATCTCTATTCTCCATTCATCACAGCCTATCCCTGTGGTCTCGATCGCCCTGGTTGCCGCTATATCGATCGGCGTGTCGGCGGCCTGACCGAGCTTGCCGATCGACGGATCAACGTCGCGTGCACCCAGATGCAACTGTGCGTCAACTTTCGTGGCGGAAGAGTATGTGCTGGAGTGACATGTCAGCTCCTTGAACTTCTGTGTGTGAGCGCGACGACAGGCTATTCGTAAGCTGGCTTGCAGGGGTACCGTACTGGGTAAAAAAGAGATAACCATGTCGGTCTCGCGGTGTTCGGCTAGATAAAAAACATTTTGATGCCGTGGGGTCGCGTACCCCCAGATACGTAACCTAAGATGAGGAAGGGTTGCGTCACTTCCGCAGGGGGCCAAGATTGCCAGCCATGTGTCAACATACCCATCGAAACATAACTTGCATGACCCTCCCGTTCGGCCAACGCCCGGCCAAAATTTCCCCCTCCCTCCCAATGCCGTCCCAATGGCCATCCCCAATCGTTTCTCGAGCCGCGTCCAGCTGCTCCTGATGATCCCCCTGCTCCTTCTGTAGTTCCCGCTCCTGGTCCTGCTGCGCAATTGCACAATCTGAATGCGTCTTTCCTCTGCCCCCCGAAGATGACAACACAGTGGCCCGCCCCCTCCGCGTGCTGTTTGTTTGTGTACACGAGATGTCAAAACATTGTTTTGGCTTCTGATGTTCTACAATCAGATTGCTTTCGGTGCTTCAGACTGGTGCTGCTGCTGCAGCTTGGGCCGCATGATCGGATGTTTTTTTTTTTGGTTGTTTTGCCAATTCTTCGTTGATGTGGGCTCTTTCTTGGCCATGCTGATAAGCAAAGTGTGGTGATGATCGTCGTGTACTTCTTCATCCTCGTCTTCGTCCTGTAATATTCTTTTACTCAGATCTTCAACGTAGGTGATGTACCACTCAGTGCCATAGCGAGATGATCGTGGTAGGGTGTCCGTTAAGCTCTGGGCTAGCAACAAGATCAAGAGGGGGCCAGCCAGCTTGGGGAGAGCGCCCAGGAGGGCGCGCGCGCTGGGCGAGCGGGCCGCGATCCTTTTTACTTGGGCCAACCCACAGCAGCTGCGTCGAACCTGTGGGTCAGAAGTGGGCCCGGGTCGATGACTAAATCAACTTCCCCCGCGGCCGGCCCGGCGAGCTCCACTCGCGCGGGCGGACAAACCTGATTTAGGTATCGCCCCGACTTGTTCATACATGCGTCTGGGCACGCGGCACCCCGCAAACGGTTCTCCCACCGTCTTGCTTGCCGTGCAATAGACGCAGGTGGCACCTGTGTGCAAAGGCGACTCAAACCATTCCTTATGGACGTAGTTGAGCCTCAAACACCAGTCTCGAGGGGGGTACGTCGGCATAGCCGCTTCCCTCCCTCGCTCTCTTCCACGTACCCTCATTGGTGATCGCGGGAGCCCCGGCCGTCATTTTACCAGATGTCCGAGCTCCATGTCCACAATGACCACCAGTCGGCGCCATGGGGCGGAGGAATCCGTTGTCTGCTGCGCCGTGTCGTCACGCGCGCGCGCCGTGCCCTGCGCCGCGCGGCATCTGCCTCTGCGCGCCACGGAGCATCCAGGTATCGAAAATCACGCGCGGCGGGGGGGCGTGCAGTTCGCGTGTAACCAGAGGAGGCTGCCCCCGTACTGTGGGGCGTGTCCCACTGCGTTGGGTTCTCAGCTCGGCGCCGCCCGGATTCTCGTTGATCATCTGGCGCTCGGCTGCTTGTCCCCTCTGATCCCTTGCCGCTGCTCTCCTTGTCCTTCCCTTTTCCCGCGACGCCCTCCCCCGTCCTCGCTGCCCTGGAGCGGCCCGCAGACTTCGTTGAGTGAGGCCGCTTGGCGCCCTTGGCAAATGGCTCGCGCGCCGGGGCGCCAGCTTCGACGTAGTCGGCTGGTGCATCCGTATGCGTAGACCGTGACTTAGGCATAGGGGCCCTGCGAAACTCAGCCCGAGGCCAGTGTTCCTCAATTTCCGCCGCCGCGGCAGCCTCCAGTCTGGTGAGCGGCTGAGTGTCCTTCATTCCGGGAGCCGTCGTGCGCTATGCAGACCAACCGCAGATTGGCTCCTCTCGGTGACGCTCATTTGGATGAGTGTCGTCCCAGTCGAAGGGGTTCAGTATGGAATGGCCTTCCTCACTCATCACCCTCCTGCTGATATATGGCCACCGCTCCTTCGGGGGAACCGCCGCATCCTTCCCTGTCGCTGGCGTGCCGTGGCGTTCATCCTGGAACTTGATAAACCTTCGAACCAGCTTCCTCGTCTTCTCGAGCATGTAGGGGTTCTGCGGCGGATTCGTCTTCTGGACGCGTGGGCAACCAAACAAAGACCGTCATGGTTCTACTATGGAACGCAGTCTTACCTTGAAGGGCGTTTTCACTAGGTAGGGACATCCCCTCGGCATTGGTCTCCATCCACTTCTCATGCGTCCTCCGTTGCGCGCGATAAGTGTCTGCCCCAGTCCATCTTTTCGGCCCGAGGTCGTGGGCGTAGTCTGGGCGAATCCTCTTTTCTAAACTAAGATCCTTGTGGGCGACCTTCGGCTTTATGACCTCGGAATCGGCAATGCGGGTCCCGTGCTTCACAATAGCCCGACGCGTGAAAGACATCGGCGTCCCTGGCCGCTTGCAGCAATCAGTGCTGCGCAGAAGGTGCCCGTCTTCCCAAAAGTGAGGCGCGCATGGCGCGTTCTTCCTCTCCGTGGAGGCGAGCCCAACACCGATGTCCTCGATGGCCGGGCGGTGCAGCTCGCAATTCTGCTTGGCGAAATTGATGCAGGCCGCGAAACGTCGGTCATAGACCAACGTCCACGATGCCCGTGCATGCTGTATGCCCGACGCCGTAAGCCGCATTTTCCGGTGGATATCACTCCACGTAGGGCGGAAAGTCGTCGCCATAGTGCCGTCGTGCTGTATCCCGATATCTTGGTTGTCAAAGATACGAGGCTGGAGCGTCAGCGCGTGCATTTCTGACAGTGGATGCGGGTCGTCAATTCCGAAGACCCTGGCATCCAGATCCTGGCCAGCCACTGCTCTCGCCCATCCTCCTGGTCTGAGCCACCTAGGCAGCTCCCCGCTTGCTTCGCTGTTCTCGCCAGTCTGAGTCTTCTCGACCACCGCCTGTGCCCCTTCGGCACCCCGCTCGCAACTCCAACAACTGGTCCGTCTAATGCGGCGTGCGGTCCAAGCTTGGTCGGAAGACAGGTGATGAAGCGATGCTGTCGAATCCCCTGGAGGTCGTTCTTCGGTGCTTCGAGGTGCCGGGTCATAGAGCGCTTCGCGGCAAGATCGTCCAAGGGAATGACGACGGCCTGGTGGGAGTATCTCGCAGCCGCCTCGTACCTGATGTGCATGCGTTTCGGGTCTATGGCCCGAGCGGAATGACCCTTGCAGACGCAGAACATCAACGGCGCTCTAGCCATCGGTGGCAGGATATGGACTCCCGCGTCAACGTTGTCTCCCTCCATCGGCGTGCGCCCAACACTACTGTCTTCCAAGTCATCGTGCTCGGCGGTCGGGCCGGTATCTGCGTTCGTTCATCATATTTACGCCGAGGATCTGGACCGTGTTGGGAGGTAGTTGGGCGAGGGCATGTACGAAGCGAGCTGCGGGCGCGGGCCGCGCTGTGCATCGCCAAATCGACAATGAGCGAGCCTAGTCCAGCTTCCTCCACGTCCATTCCCGAGTACCACGCCAGTGAGCGTCGTTCATTGGCTAATTCTATCGGGATAGGGCGGGACTCGGGGGATGTGAGACAGTGTGGTTCTACTGTGTTGAAGCGGGCGCGCAGGAAACGTCGAGCTTTTGCACCATCTTCAGCAGTCAAACTACGAAGGGGCTCAAGTCATGGGTCGCCAACCAATCCTCGCGTCCACTCAAGCGTCCGCTTTTCGTATCGCCAGTCCCTCTTCTCTCGGTCTTCGAATGACTCTGGGCCAGTGTCACGGTATTCTTCCAGCCTCCGTGCCAACTCGATGGGGGGCGCGCGTATTTCCCCGTCGTCCCCGTCTTTGATGAGCGAGGCGCCATATTCGTCCTTCTCTGCGTATTCGAGCCCGACATGAGCTGTCTCTCCCAAGTCCCTCTCCCTCTGCTTGTACTCGTCAATCGAAATCTGTTCACTCTTGGGAGGCGTGGGAACTCCGCTGAGACAGGAATACCTCGACATGAAAGCGCGAGGGTATCTTGCCAGAGAGCACGTCCAAAGGAATCAGCTCAGGCGGGCTTTCGCGAGGTATAACCTCAACCTGCTTTTCCGTATCTTCGTCCTGCTTATCCTCAGATTCGCCGGGCTCGTCTTCTTCTTCCTCTTCTTCCGCAAGACCTTGAAACGTGGCCTGGGCCCGGTGCCCGTAGCCGCCAGGGGGCGGAGGGCCCCCTTCATCAGACGCGTCCAAATCGACCACCTGCGGAGCCCTCCTGTCAATTGGCCGCCCTTGCTTGGGTCTTGCACCCTCGATGGGATCCTGGCCTTGAGTGGGCGTGGCAGCGTCAAGGGGTGAAGGAACGGGCGGGGAAGTGGCGGCATAGCCTTGCGCCCTCCCTTCCGCGCCCATCGGCAGTAGACTGCCCTGGCCCGCTCTCGGGGCGGTCCGAGTCGACTGCCACGCCCGCGGCAGAGGACAGCCCTCCTTCATCCCTGGGGCGATCTGAGTCCACAGACATTTGCGTCGGACTGTCAGTCTCCTCGGTCAAATCCGCCGCGCCCTCGTAGATCTCAGCTTGGCACCACAATTCACCGACTTTTCTCATGCGCCAAGATCTCAGCAGGAGCATTGTGCTTGTGTGGGTCAGCCCAGCGCGAATATGCTCGCTGCTGAGGAGTGCGCAGGTCGATCTGCAGCGCAGTATTTTGTCTCTCGCAATAATCGCATGGAGCCACTGGCTTGAGGT